ACCGGATATATATCGCAAACATCGGATATAGTTGGCCGATCCTTATATGAATATGATAATATAACCCAATTTATTATAATACAAAACCTAAAAATGTCCCAAACTTCTATCTTCTAAAGTTGGGTCATTTCCGATCGTTCAGTTATATGGCAGCTATAGGATATAGTCGGCCGATCCTAATGAAATTTGGTAGGTTGGATCAACTAACCAAAAATAGAATCTGTACTAAATTCCAGCTTTCTATCTTCAAAAACACGAAAGTTGGATCATTTCCGATCGTTCAGTTATATGGCAGATATAGGATATACTCGGCCGATCCTTACGAAATTTGGCATGTCGTATTATTTTGCCAAAAATAGCTCTCACCTAAAATTTGAACTCTTTAACTTTAAAAACACCAAAGTTATACCATTTCCGATCAATCAGTTATATGGCAGCTATAGGATATAGTCGGCCGATCCCGGCCGTTCCGACTTATATACTGCGTGCAAAGGAAAGAAGGGTGTGTGCAAAGTTTCAAGACGATAGCTTTAAAACTGAGAGACTAGTTTGCGTAGAAACAGACAGACGGACAGACGGACAGACGGACATGCTCATATCAACTCAGGAGGTGATCCTGATCAAGAATATATATACTTTATAGGGTCGGAGATGTCTCCTTCACTGCGTTGCACACTTTTGGACAAAATTATAATACCCTCTGCAAGGGTATAAAAATGAAATAAAAAACTTATCGATCAGTGAATCTTTTTTTTTCGATCAATTAATACTCTGCTCTCATTGTTTTTTATTGCTACGCATGCACTCAAAATATTTGATAACCGTGGATCGTCTTTAAACTAGTGATTTGTGGATCGTTGGTGATATAGGGTTCCACGGTGTAACGAAATGTTTTTCTGCTCCCCGCTCGCAACAATTTGCGGCGGCTAGCTCACAGAGTTTGTGGGTCTGTTCCACCGAATTTTTAGTTCGACGTGATTGCCCGAGCCCAGAAATAATAAAAATAGCATAAAACATTAAACACATTACATTCAGAGGTTTTTCCCAAGATACAATGTTAGTTTCTCAATAACAGGTTCCGCTCCGTATTTTTGCTGCTACTCCTGGTTCCGCCTGGCTCCGTCGTCGGCGCTTCCTGTTGGTGGTTCCGAGTGTCCTACTCCGTCGCCGCTGCTACTCTCCGTGCTGCGTTGCTTTAGATTCCCCTAGCCGTCGCTTGTTTGGCTGGGCACACGCGGGCCTTCCTACCTTTCGGAACAGCCCCTTGTATCGTCTGCGACTGATCAAAGACTGGGCAGCGCTCTTCCCCTTCGTTAGTCCAGGGATCCACCGCGCATACGCGCTAGCGAGCCAGGATTGGGAGTTGCCAGTGGTTGCCACGTTCCTTTCTCCACAATCAACGGAAGTTGCCGTTGATGAGCGTGCGTCACTATTTCGCAACTCCGGGGACACATCGCGCATACGCGCTAGCGTGCCAGGATTTAAAGTTGCCGTTGATGATCGTGCGTCGCGCTCTCGCTACACCGGCAAGTCCTATCCTTGTTTTGCAGGACTACGCTTGTTTGTTGCGATTTCAGGAGTATAGGGTTGGAGATGTCTTCTACAGTGCTTTACACACTTTGGACCAAAATTATAATACTTTTATAATTATATTACTAATTATAATAACTGAACAATCGGAAATGACCCAACTTTCGTATTTTTGAAGATAGAAAATTTAAACTTTTTACAGATTCTATTGGTCAGTTGATCGGACCTGCCAAATTTCATAACGATCGGCCAACTATATCTTATAGTTGCCATATTACTAAACGATTGGAAATAACCCAACTTTCGTGATTTTGAAGATAAAAAGTTGGAACTTCGTAAAGATTATATTTTTCAGGTCATTTGATGCGTCCTACCAAATTTCAAACCGATCGGCAGACTTTATTTTATAGCGGCCATATACCTGAACGATTGCAAATGGTATTTCGTATTTGGTAAAAATACCAACTATAAAATTTTTGAAGAAAGAAGTTTATGACTTGTTTTTAGATTTTGTTTTGTTATGAATTGGTTACATTAAATTGGTTAAAATTATAGTGGTTAAATTAAAGTGCCACGCCTGGTCCTGGGCCGCTCGCACCATGATCCTGCGAACAATCTCAAAGACTTTCTTCAGCTTCATCGCATTCTCTGTTGGCGTGCCTTGCCCAGCTCCTGTGCCTAAGGTGTTTTCGTCGAACAGGCTCGCGGCATCCTTGACCATGTGGACTCCGATAATGCCGAGTTTACTGCCAGCATTAGCTCTGGCCAGTGCTCGTCCCATGTCCTTTCCAGCGAACTGAATGATCATAGTCTTGACCGTCCTGTTCGCTCTTTCTGCGGTAAACTGGTGGCGCACGCCGAGCTCCCCTAGGAACTTATTTAAACTTCGGCTAGTGAATTATACGCCATTGTCCGTCACCATTATCTTTGGTACTCCAAATCGAGCGACAATTCTTTTTCGGATCGCTCTCTGTAGCTCCTAGGTCGTTGCTATTCGGAGTGGCACCATTTCCGTCCACTTCCCGTCAACGGCTTGTACTTCAGGCAAGTTTCGCACCTCCTTATATCTTTCCGGATGGCCCTCTGCACCCCTGGCCAGAAGTATCTGGCTTCCACTTTGGCTATTGTTTTCCTCACGCTTAGGTGTCCTGCCGTCGGAGCGTCATGGTTCTCTTTGAGGACCTGCTGCCTCGTCTCCGTCGCCACGCATAATTTCCACGATGCCAATTCCTCGCTTCCAGCTCTTTGCGGGTCGTGGCGGTAGACCAAGCCGCCGTTTTCAACGTAATCCGGAAACTTCTGCTTGTCTGGCGCTTTTCCACACGCGTTAATTGATTTCACTCTCCCTGGCACTTCTTAGTTTCTCCAATACTGGTTGGCGAGACAGCGCGTCGGCGACCACGTTGAACACCCACCTCGCTATTCCCCCAAGCGGGCTCTCGATATTGTTGAGCCACTTCAGCGACCTATGGTTCGTGATCACGTCGAACTGGTATCCCTTCAGGTAGGGTATAATTTGTCTAATCGCCCACACTAATGCCAGGCCTCCTTCTCCGTCGCTGAGTAGTAAAGCGTATTTTGCAGTCTGCTACTTGCGCGTGGCAAAGGATGACAGAGTCGTCATATCTTTGGTGATAGCGAAATCCAAGGTGGCATCTTTAAAACCAATATCGATTCCGCGTATGGAGCTGCAGACAGCAGTTATGGGAGCACGTTTAGCCCACAAGGTGATATGAACACGCAACCTACGAATCAACAAAGCCACATACTCCAAGATAATGTTGCATTGGCTAACTATGGACCCCCGCAACTTTCATCAGGTCGTGATGCACAGAGTCGCCGAAATTCTTGAAACAACACTGGTCGAGCAATGGCGGTGGATCCCTTCAAAGCTGAACGTAGCAGATGGAGCTACCAAGGTCACCGGGCAAAGCCAGCAAGAGACGTGGGTAACGGACCCAGAGTTTTTGAAGACTGATGCAAACTGTAAATGGATTTGTATTTTATTGAAGTCGAAAAATTGTGAACTATAGTTATAACTGAATTGTATTTGTTAGTTGTTAATCAGTAAATTTACTCTTAGATAGCTTAGGGCGGAGCGGGAGCGAAAGCTCATATTCCCTCTTGTGCTCTTAAGATTAGAGAAAATTATAATCGAATTTATAACGTTGAAGAGGCACGACCATTTCATTCGTTTTCGTTTTCGCCCATTTCTTTAAATATTAAGCAGCCACCTTTCTTTTTTTATTTTTTGTTACTCGAAGTGTGAGATAAACTAATCTCGTTATACACAAGCAACTGGCCAATATCCAAGATGTAGGAGAGCATCATCGATACCTCGGAGATACGGAAGCATGTGATGACGACGCATAGGATATCAGCAGTTAGTTCAACGCCCACGATTTCTCAAATTGGCGGCGATTATACAGAGCAGTGGCATTAGTACTAGGAGTACTAGTGCCACTGCTCTGTATAATACTCCTAGTACTACTGGTAGTACTAGTACAGTATACTAGTACTAGTGCCAACAACCATGACAATGGCTCATGTAGGCAAGGCAAAGATGCTGCAATACAAGCAATCTCAAGCCATCGCTTTCGCAGAAGAACTAAAAACGTTATCCGCGAGACCGCCGCTCCTCAAGGGAAGCAGATTGGCCGGGATGAACGCATACCTAAACTACGAAGGAGTACTATGAGCTAGAGGCAGACTAAACGCAGCTGACATAGCTGAGGCCCCCCATCATGCTACCACCAGCTCGTTCAGGAGACTGTAACAAACGACATCACAAATTCGTTACATATCGTTTTATATATATTATTCTAGATTGACAGAACAGTTCCCAGACGGATCCCGAGGGCAAGAGTTGGATGCTGCGAGAGGTCGTTCACCTATACAGTCGTTGACTATTTTGGCCCCTTATTGGTGAACGTCGGCCGGCGCAAAGAGATGAGATGGGTAGCTTTGTTCACCTGTGTGACATTGCGCGCGGTGCATTTTGAGATCGCCTACAGTCTAGACACCAGTTCATGTATCATGTGCCTAGCCAATTTTATAACCTTTCGAGAAACACCGAAGGAAATATTTTCGGACAATGGAACCAATTTTAGAGCCACGGAAAAGGCCGTGCGCAAGGACCTGAAAAAGATCGAGCACGATAAGATCACCATTAAGTTCACCGGCATAAAGTGGCGATTCAACCCACCAGGAGCACCGCACATGGGTGGAGCATGGAAGAGTCTCGTCCGGACAACGAAAGGAATATTGAAGAACATTTGCCCAAGTTAACCTTTCAACGACGAAATGATGGAGGCACAATTTTTCATCAACTCGCGACCTCTCACGTTCGTAAGTCTGGATTCCAAGGATGACGCCGCCCTGACTCCAAACCACCTGCTACTAGGATCAGCGAACGGATATAAGCCGCTGCCCAAAGAGGGGATGAATCTGAAGTGTATATGGAACTAGACTCAGCGCTTCGGAGACCGCTTTTGGCAACGATGGGTTAAGGAGTATGCGCCCGTATTAACCAGGCGCACCAAATGGTTTGAGAAGGTACCTCCAATCACCATCGGAAGCATCGTTGTAGTAGTAGATGAGCTTCTTCCCAGGAACCAGTAGTTAAAAGGACGCGTGACTGACGCCATGATGGCGAAGGATGGACAAGTTAGACGGGTGACCAGCATGGTGTTATAGAAACCAGCAACAAAGGTAGCAGTTCTGGATGTCAGCTTGGAGAATGGTAACTGACCACGGATCGGGATCAATTACGAGGGAGGGAATAAATAGTAAATTGAATCTGACAGTGGAGAATATAATTCTTATAATCAGCTTTATGCACGGTAAAATTTGACCGATCTAGTAAATATCTTGAAAAATCTATACTGCTGCAATTGTTTTTATACCCTTGCAGAGGGTATTATAATTTTGTCCAAAAGTGTGCAACGCAGTGAAGGAGACATCACCGACCCTATAAAAAATATATATTCTTGATCAGGATCACCTCCTGAGTTGATATAAGCGTGTCCGTCTGTCTGTCTGTTTCTACGCGAACTAGTCTCTCAGTTTTAAAGCTATCATCTTGAAACTTTGCACACATCCATCTTTCCTTTGCATGCAGTATATAAGTCGGAACGGCCGGGATTGGCCGACTATATCCTATAGCTGCCATATAACGGATCGGAAATGGTATAACTTTGATGTTTTTAGAGTAAGAGAATTAGATGTAAGAATTTTACATGAGAACTACTTTTGGCAAAATAATACGACATGCCAAATTTCATAAGGATCGGCTGACTATAGCTTATAGCTTTCATATAATGAACGATCGAAAATGACCCAACTTTCGTGTTTTTGAAGAAAAAAAGCTGGAACTTCGTACAGATTATATTGTTTTGAAAATAGAAGCTTGTATTGTAATAAATTGTTAATATGTAATATGATACTCTCATCATGATCAGCCCACTATGTCCGATATTGTTGATTTTGTAGCAGGATTGCTACTTTTGGGTATATATAATTATTAGCTATAAATGTATCTCATAACGGTAAACTGTTGTCGTTGCTTGTTGTCGGTTCTGGCTCTCCCTCTCTCTCTCTCTTGTGCTCTCACGCTCTCATTGCTTTACGGCGAGTAATGAGGGTTGATGCTGATCACGAGTTGAGAGCGGAGTCAGTCGAACACCAGCAGCGATCTGAAGCTTATCTAGTCAAGACTAATAATAGAAAAATATAAAAAGCAAAGTGTTGGTGCGCTATTTGGGACATTTGTCATATCCCTACAATTTGTATCTGATTATAACTGCAATGGTATATCAACTTCGGCTCCGCTCGAAGTTAGCTTTCCTTCCTTTTTATACCCTTGCAGAGGGTATTAATTTTGTCCAAAAGTGTGCAACGCAGTGAAGGAGACATCTCCGACCTTATAAAGTATTCTTTATTTAAAAGTTTTATTTCTTTATAAGAAATAATTTTTTTTTTTTATTTTTTTTTTCTTTGTTTATTCTTTATTTTTAAAGTATTCTTTATAAGGTCGGAAGAATATATTCTATATATTCTTGATCAGGATCACCTCCTGAGTTGATATAAGCTTGTCCGTCTGTCCGTCGGTTTCTAAGCAAGCTTGTCTCTCAGTTTTCTGTTTTTCTTTTCATCTTTCCTTTGCACGCAGTATAAGTCGGAACGGCTGGGATTCGCCGACTATATCCTATAGCTGCCATATAACGGATCGGAAATGGTATAACTTTGGTGATTTTAGAGTTAGAGAGCTAAAATTTTACACGAGAGCTATTTTTGGCAAAATTTTGCGACATGCCTTTTTAATTTTATAAGGATCGGACGACTATATCCTATAGCTGCCATACAACTGAACGATCGGAATTGACACAACTTTCTTGTTGTTGAAGATAGAAAGCTGGAACTTAAAACAGATTATATTTTTGGTCAGTTAATCCGACCTACCAAATTTCATAAGGATGGGCCGACTATATCCTATAGCTGGCATATAACTGAACAATCGGAAATTTGGTAAAAATTCCAACTTTGGTATTTGGTAAAAATATTAACTTTGGTAATTTTGAAGACAGAAGTTTGGGACATTTTTTAAATTTTGTTTTGTTATGAATTGGTTAAATTATGATATTCTCATAAGGATCGGCCAACTATATCCGATTTTTCGTTCTACCTGCAAGGGTATATCAACTTCGGCTCGGCCCGAAGTTAGCTTTCCTTTCTTGTTTATATCTGAAAAACAATATTAATCCAAATCGGATGAAGCGATTAAGAGGAGATATAGACGTATAAATACCATTTTCCATTGAACGTGTGGATCTCGAAGACTATAAGAGATAGAACTATACGATTGGGATCTTGGACTCGTATGGAATCCTAGTTCATTAATCCTAGCAATAGTTCATTAATATTTTTACGATATGTTTTTATGTCAATTTCAAAATTTAAATATCGGGCAATTGTTAGAGAAGGTATAGACTTTTATTCTGATCCCCCACAAAATGTTCTGTTTTTTTTACAAGCGGAAAAGTGTGCAACAAAAATTGTTTGCTTAGAATTCATAACATTTAATTTCAAAGGTTAGTTAAAGTGTGGATGGAAGAGATGAGTACCGGGTATAATATATATTCAAGAAACTCGACAAGAAACTATAGCCGTCCTTTCTTGTTTTTTTTTTAGGATCGTTCAGGACGAAATGGACGCATTAGCGAACATTGCCGAAAATATTAAGCAATCTGTCATGGATAATGAATGCTCTGTAAGAAATTCATTGGAAATATCAACACATCAGGATACAGTTGACTTGGATAACATTTTTGCATTTTTGGGTGAAGGTTCTGAGATGAGCTGTGCTAATATACTAATTGAAGAGATAAATGATAAAATGAGCCATTTAGTTCAGGATCTTGACCAAGAAGTAAGTATGTTTTAAATTGTTTATACTAATGATTAGTTACTAATAATTTTTTTAATTTTATAGTATGAATATATCAATTAAAAAAAACGGTTGACGAGGTAGAATCTTGTTCAAGCATCTCGTTTTCTTTGATGCTTGCTTTGGTTCTACCAGTTTAATCGGTATGATTTGATGCAGGTCAAAGCAAGTATGAGTTCCACGTTTGCTTTTTCAAATGCATTCGTGCAATGCTCTACTAGCATCAAACTCAGAGAGTAACATTAAAGCCTGCGTTGTCCCATAATTAAAGCTATAGTGACACAGACAACTACTGCGGAGCTTCAGCGGACTTGAATCCCGTAACTGCTTATGGAAGGTAGAAGAAGGAAGCGGTGCCCAGCTATGTCAGTAATGATGCTTTGATGTAAAAATTATTCTCATTTTGTGTCTCTGCTCGGGTACCACACTATAAGGGACATTAGTGCCCAACGGTTAACTTTTTTTGTTGTGCTTGTTGGTGAGAACTAACAACTATTTTTAGAACTCTTAGAACACATACATGTAGTGTAAAAAAAATATGTTTCTTTGTATGTATTTATCACTGCGCCCGCAATGGCGTAAACATTTTTTGGTTTCCAAATTTCCATTTCTGACGATTTCGGTTTCTTCAGAATAAGCAGGAGGGCATAGTGGTCGTATTTATAACTCAACGATAATAAGCACCTTTAAACCCATTTCCTTGTTGTCATGTTTTGATTTCTTTTTTGTTTTAATCTTGCTTTTTTTTCTTAAATCATCTCTTTGCGAGACTATCAAGAGGTGTATCAAATCTTATATTTTTAACTTAATTAACAGTCATTTTGACTGATACAGACAGGGACCGCAAATAAGACGTATGAGTTCAAAAAAATTTGAACCACAAAAGAGCCTTTGCGGGAAAACATATACCATTTTTTGACGGTGAATCCGGAAACACTTTTATTTTCGATTTCTATTGTTTGAAAAATAATTGAAATATAACTCTTATTTTCAATTTTTATAATAATAATTAAGAATAAGAATTATTTTTCAATTTTTATTCCCTTGCAGAGGGTATTATAATTTTGTCCAAAAGTGTGCAACGCAGTGAAGGAGACATCTCCGACCCTATAAAGTATATATATTCTTGATCAGGATCACCTCCTGAGTTGAAATGAGCGAGTTCAAATTTGAAACGGGAGCTATATTTGGCAACACATTACGACATGCCAAATTTCATAAGGATCGGCTGACTATATCTTATAGCTGCCATATAGCTGAACGATCGGAAATGACCCAACTTTCGTGTTTTTGAAGATAGAAAGCTGGAACTTAGTACAGATTCTATTTTTGGTCAGTTGATCCAACCTACCAAATTTCATTAGGATCGGCCGACTATATCCTTTAGCTGCCATATAACTGAACGATCGGAAATGGTATTTGGTATTAATATCAACTTTCGTGTTTTTAAAGATAGAAGCTTGGGACTTTTTTTAGATTTTTTATTGTAATTAATTGGTTTTATTATGATGTAATCATAAGGATCGGCCAACTATATCCGATGTTTGCGATATATATCCGGTTTTAACTGCAAGGGTATATCAGCTTCGGCTCCGCCCGAAGTTAGCTTTCCTTTCTTGTTTTAATAATAATTAAACATAAGAACTATTTTTCAATTTTTATAAAATATAAAAAAAAAAGTTTTTATTGAGTTTTTATTATAAAAATTGAAAATAAGAATTATAATTTAATTTTTATTTTAAAAATTGAAAATAAAAATTGAATGCAAATAACTTTTGAACCGAGTGGACTATTAAAAAACGGTTAACATATCTGTGTAACGATTTTGATCTGTGATGCAGTACCTTTCAAATGATGTATCGAATGTATTAATAGTCCAAAAGTCGGTTCAGAAGTTATTTCTGAATAACTTTCCCATCTGGATGATCTGTGCGGTAAATTGTAGCATACCTTCAATATGGTTTTTGTTTAAGAATTGTGACAATTCTAGCGAGGACCTCGGCGCTTTTGCGAATAAGACGTCTGGCGTATCTTTTGACGCAATATACACATTCTGTGACTTTTGATTGCGCGTTGCGGTCGCTTGTCGCATGCGACTCTATAAATCCTTGATATTTCTGATCTCTTTTCTCTTGGTTCAATGTTAATCTTTCATTATTCCAATGTTCCAAAGACGTTACGGACTTAAAATAGAATTTTTACATTTTCATTTTTCACCATACTCACCTTCTTTGTAAGAGGTTGTTGTTAGATATAAATTTTTCTAACAAGTTTCGATCGTGCTTGGATAATTCAGTTATTATTAATTTTGATTCTAAATGCGTAGAGCCTTTTTGCAGTGGACTGTATTTTGTACTGCTCTTGATTGTTTCGCTGTCTACTTGGTACTGAAGAAAATTTGCAATGTTGCCATAGGTGGTACTTATTCCAAAACTAAATAACTAAGCGGTAGTTTCCAAATAAACCGGCCCACCCTAAAACACTGTTTCTGAATGAGGTTGTTGTTGTCAATTCTCCTGATGCCATCTTGAGCCTTAATGCTCGTACGACGTTGTCCTTTCCTGGATAGGTTTCGATCACTCTCGCTAGATGGGTGATTGGTGGTGTGTTGGACTCCTTCCGACAGAACGCTGCCGATCTTGATATTGGGTGTGGCCTTGGTCCACTTTGGTCGCTGCTGAAGACTAGTCAGGTACTCCTGGTGCCATTTTTTCCAGAAGCCTTGGTACATCGATTGGATAGTCTGCCAGTATCCTAAACAGCCCACAGGAATGTGGCCAAGATTCGCATCCGCGGTTCGTCGTAAATGGTCGCCCGATCGGGAAATAGGCTGGTGACAGATAGTTGCTATCTGTATCCGATGGGTCGTGAATTGACAACCGCACTGATCTGCGCCAGCAAGGTGCGCATTTGTTCATGTTAGTGTGCCTCATTCTGCAAATGACTCGTCGAAGATGCAGATTGACACATCGAACTTCTGATTCCCACTTTCCTTCCCAATGTGGAGCACGCGGTGGGATGAAGGTCCATTGGATACCTTCGTCTGCTAGAGAGTTCGCTACGTGATCCTTGTATTGTGTTGAGCTCAGTAGCTGCCGCATTTGATCGAGGGATCGCCTCGCTCCACAGTGGTCGATTTGGCCTCGCTAGCGGCATTTAATTATGATTTTAATATTTAAATAAACGTGAATTTAATTTTACCTATCGAACACATACACCTTGATTAGATCCTAACGATGTTTTCTAAGCTTATTAATCACCTGAAGATCAACTGTGAACTTTTAAATTCAGCAGGTGATATATACAATTTTTGCGCCGGTGATATATAGGTGATATATACAAGTTATTTTACTTTTAGGAAGAGTGTCAGAGTCGATGCGCACACTTTTCTTAGTATGGCACGGCGAAGCGATCCCCTCTAAAAAGTTATAATATTCGTAATTGAAAGCTTTGCATTAAGAGAAGTTTGTAACAAATATGATTGTAACGAAAAGCCGCTTTCCGGAATTAGAAAAAACCTGCCCAATTCAATAGTAGACTTGTCCAGAAGTGGAAGAAGTGCGATAGAAATAAGGCGGCTTTAGAAAAAAGTAATAAACAATGTCTAGACACCCCTCACGCATCATTTAGAAATGTTGGACACCCTGAGAAAGGTATTTCAGAGTGTTACAAAAAAAATAAAATTAACAAACTATCAGGCATTTCGGAGGACGTCTTGACGGATGCATTCTGCATTGTTGTTCTGTACAAAATTTACTCAGTTCTAGACTTATGTATTGTAAAGTCATCTAGAGCGCTGTGAATCATGAGGGAATATAAAAATAACAAAAGGCAAACATTATTTCAGCTCTCCGGTTGGGGTTTTATCAGGATTATAAATAATTATCTATATTATAGATTATAAATCTACCATAAAGTAGATTTGTAAGAATGTATGTAATTCGTTTGGCATTGGCAGCATTGAGCCCATTTTGTGAAAAACTTGGACTCTGATATTGAATGTAGAATTGTAATGTTCACCATTTGCATTAGTATTTTGATCTATTTCTGTTGCTCCGAACGATGTCATTTTAAAGCATGAATTGAATGTTCGAATTGACCTAAGGAACACCTTAGAATATGGATCCGTGCCGATAAATCAGCCGTTCATGGTTCAGGTGGTGTTTCAATTTCTGGTAGTTCCACTTTTCCTGACGCGCAACACGTCCCAGCTGACTCATTTTTGAATTTCAGAGCATGACAATGCGGACATTCCTTGTCCATAGAACCAATTACCACTTTTGAGTGAGCATAATACTCAATATCAGGCTCATACTGGAATGCTAGACGCAGGAATGAATGAGATATAAATGCTCGATGTACCTGTGGTCGTTGTTGGTCATTTGTTCTTCGTCTATTGACTGTGAAACGGCTTGATTGTCGTTGTTGCGCTATTCTAACACGTACATCAGTATTTTGTTGCTGGATTTGTTCTTCGGTTCTTCTATTTTGCATGTTTCGAGATCTAATTGTGTCACGGCTCAAATCACCCCCTGTGCGTTTTATTGGCATTGCTCACTCTACAAAACACTCAATATATTTATTTAATGATGAAGGATTTTTGCCCCAGTTTAAATTGAGTTAAAATGCTATGGTAGCATTTGTCAGTGTGATGAGGTAGTAACTCACTTTATATGCGATTTTTGGTATGTCGAACAGGATTTAAGAGGATGAAAAATAGATGTTGGTGGATTTTCAGACCTTCTCAATACGCTCACAAAATATCATGAGTAACAAAAACTGTGACACGCGAATTTTATATATATAGATATAATTAACCACAGAGCATGCCTTCTAAATTTTCAGACGAAAAAGTGCTGGTGCTATTTATAGATGTTGGACATACCAAGTACACATGGAACATATCAAAAAGAGCAGCAAAAGCCCAAAACGCCAATATTTATCCGTGCTACGACTAATTGCTCTCCGCGAATAAAAAATACTATCCAAGTGGCATCACAGTCACGGATTATTATGCTGAAGTGTCTCTAAAAAGTTTGGTGGACCATACTAAAAAAAAGGATCATGGATGCAAGCCCACAAACTAATCAGATTGAGAATAACAATATAATTAATTTAACAGCGGTTTACAAATGGGTTTGTGATGGCAGCAACGGCCATTCAACTTATAGACAACAGTTTAATGATCCCGATGGTAACATAATTGACCAATATTTATATGCAATTTGTATTGCAAGTCCAGAAACTTTCTCCCAGAAAGAAAATTTAGTCGTATGGAAAAACAATCGACCTTCTTCTACGCGGTATTATCGTCCAATCAAAATACTTTGCGTGAAAGAAACGACGGAGTTGACTCAAGGGAAGTTAAAAATATAAAGAAACAAATATTAAATATTTAACCAACATGTAACGGCAAGATTGATGGAAAAACATTTAGCGTCGTTTCGGACAGCTCTTCGTAAACATGCGGAATCTGTAGCGCAACACCCAAAAATATGAACGACTTAAATTTGATAAAAACGATTTCAAAAAACATCAACCTTTTTGAATATGGGGTATTAAGTCTCCACGAATGGGTTAGAATTTTTGAGTGTGTTTTCCGCATTTCATACAGAATACCAATAAACATATGGCAAGTTCGAGGTGCTGATAAGGATATTTTTGAGCAAAATAAAAGAAATATACAGCAGAAGATGAGAGAAGAAATGAATTTATTGGTGGACATACCTATCGCCTGTACTGGAAGCACTAACAATGGAAACACTGCACGAAGATTTTTCCTGGCTTTTTTCTTTTTATACCCTTGCAGAGGGTATTATAATTTTGCTCAAAATAATTTGTTTGTACTGAGTCCGATCGAGAGTCTGTCGTTTAACGCCTTGCCTTTGACGTCCCGGAATGAGCCGTCGAAGACTTATCTGAGTTTCCGACCCAATACAGGATGATGTGGTAGGTAGAAATTCCTTCCGTTGGGAATTTCGCTCGGTGAGATTTCTTGCATGTGTCCTAGATTTTGATATTCTCTCGATTTTGATTGAAGTTTAATTAGGACCTGAGGCTGTAAAAGGAAGCTCCACGATGTATTTGCCATCATCGTCTCGAGTGTGTGTATTGAGAAAGTGTTTCTCGACCTCTTCGCCTCAGGTTGAATTTCTGCCTTGGGTTGAATGCTTTCCAGTTCCATAGCGTTCAGATACATATGACAGTTCTGAGCCTGTGTCCAAAAGGAGTCGGCATGCTACCAAAAGTCTCTTAGCGTTTTGAACGTTGACCGGGTCCTTCTGTTTCATTCATGTGATAGTGAAAACATGCAGTGCCTTGTTCGCATACAATTGCTGTGGAGCCTTCTGTTTGTGCGACGTGACTAATAGTCACCGGTGAGATATGTGCTTTGTGACGGTTTGGCACAAGTCCTGAAGGTACTTCGATCTACTAACAGGGTCCAGCCGTGTTCAGGGAAAGTGGGCGTGGTTCTTGTATCTTCAGTAGTGACATGATCGTTACGCGAATCGTCGTAGATCGAATCGAAAGGGGCTGGGAGAAGGATTCCGAAATAGCATTGTGAGGGGGTAAAAACATTTCTTGGCTAAGGTCAATATTAGAAGTTGCTAAATGTTGGTAAAAGATGGGGCTAGATTTCTTTTGTTGGTGCCCAAACAAAAGATTTATTATAAATTAAATTTCATTAACGTTATAATTTGGGGAAATTTCTTATAAAATAAATTAACATAATTAAATATACATATTTTAAATGTTTAGGTGAGGGGCCGTTGTGCCGCTCAGCTGAACTTAAGAGCGCATCCGCGCTGAAGAGCATTCTATGCATTCTTCCTCTCTCGTCGGCCGTCGTCGATCGTCCGCTCTGGTTTATATTTCCGTTTAGCGTTTATGCTTTCTAAGTTAAGTTCAGTATTCTCTTGTAAGCAGCCCAATAAAAGCTGACCGCGTTATATTCACTGGAAGACGCCCCCGACTTTTTTATTCAACATTTCAACTCCTGGAATCTTTTGCGGCAACTACGCCCCCCTACAAACATTTGGTCCTTCGAGCCGGATAATTCCTGTATTTTCTTCCACCAGCAGTTCTTGGCATTGTTCCGCCAAAAGATAGGTACATTTTTCCGTCTCCATCTCTCTGCCGGTCTTCAGCAGTGATCCGAACATTAAATTTCGTTCACACTGCTGCAAGATTGTTTTGTCCTTCCGTGTCAAATCCAAGTCCGTGTCAAATCCAAGAGTTTTCCGACACAACGGCAGTTTGAGATTTTCTAATAATCTATAATAATCTTCAAATTCTGCAAATTTTTCCATCCGTCTCCGTTTTGTGTGCTGCCCATATTCCTAGCCGTTTTCGGCCTCTCCGTTATCCATTCGCTTGCCAACGGTCGAGGCATATGTGCATTCACATACATACATACACACATACATATTTTTTTTGGTGCAATTAATCCGCGAAAAATTCGCAAGTGAACAGTGAAATTGTGTGGTGACAAAAAGGCATAATTAATATTGGCCAGCCGGTGTGAATTAGTTCCGGAATTTCCAAATTCACCGAACAGTCCGCCGCTGTCGTAATATTTGTTTTTATCTTCCCCAATCAGTGTCATTTTTTACACCACATAACTTTTCTGTTCCCCCAACTATACAGTCCACTTATCAACGCTCCATTGTGCCAACATATGCCCACATGCCCTTAAATATATTCGTACCTTCATGCATGTCCATATATTTTCTGCCTCCAATTTCAGGAAATATATAACCAATAAAATTTATCATATACAGTCCACTTATCCGCGCTCCACTGTGCCAACATATGCCCCACATGCCCTTACATACATATATCCGTACTTGCAAGCATGTCCATATATTTCCAAATATTTTCTGCCCCCA